AAAGTCCTTAACCTATTTTTTTTTTTTTTAATTTTTAGAGAGAGAGGTGTTTTTTGTTTGTTTGTTTGTTTTGTTTTTGTTTTTTTGCTATAGGGCGCATACGCTCACCAGAGAGACAGGGAGAGACAGATAGACAGAAAGCGAGAAATCACCCCCCAGGGGGGATGGTCACACTGCAACCCCTTCTCCTCCATTCTCCTCTTGGGATCTTGGGCAGCGCCCGGTGTGAGTTTAAGCCACTAGGTCTGGGACTCAAATTGCGGTTGACTACATGGGAGTCCAGTGACGTCGCCATTATGCTACCTGCTGGATCTCTCTTTTTTTTTTTTGGAGAGGTTTTTGCCATAGGGCGCTTGTGCTCACCAGACAGACAGAGACAGAGAGACAGAAAGCGAGAAATCACCCCCCAGGGGGGATGGCCACGCCACAGTCCCTTCTCCTCCTTTCTCCTCTTGGGATCTTGGGCACGCATGCACACATACCTGGCGTGAGTTTTAAGCCACCGGGTCCGGGACGCAAACCGTCTACTACATGGAAGTCCAGCAACATAGCCATTACGCTAACTGTTGGTCCCTGCTGGACCTCTTTCTTTCTCTCTTGAAAGGCAGAGAGACACCCTTGACAAGGTCTTGCCATGGTGCAGTCCTTCTCCTGGCCACTCAGCCAGCCAGGATGATGTTGGCCTATGAATGCCAGCATGCCCAGTTAGACTCAGAATATGAATCCAGGCTTACTAGATGGCTCCAGTATTGTGAAGTGGCACCCTACTGGGTGCCTTATCATCATGGCTGGGCCCTTTGTCCATTTTTTAACTTGAGTTACTCATCTTTTTTTTTAAGTTGTAGAGGTTTCTGACATACTTTAGAGATTTATACCATAAGATATATGATTTGCAAATATGTTCTCCCATTTCATATGTTACTCTTCACACCATAGATTGTTTTCTTTGCTGTGCACAAGCTTTTTAGGTAGATGCAGTCCCACTAGTTTATTTTTTTGTTTTTGTTGCCTATGCTTTTAGTGTTATATCCATAAAATCATGGCTGAGACCAATGTCATTAAATTTTCCCATTTTGCTTTCTTTTAGAATTTTTAGTTTCTGTTTTTATATTTAAGTTTTTAATTTGTTTTGAGTTGACTTTTGTGTATGGTGTAAGATATGGGTCCAATTTTATTCTTTTGCATATGTATATTCCATTTTTCCCAATACTCTTTGTTTAATGGGCTACCCTTTACTCATTGTGTATTCTTGGCACATTCATCAAAGATCCACTTTATACATGTGGATTTATTTCTGATCTCTGTTCTATACATTACTTTATATGTCTGTTTTATGTCATACCATACTGTTTTGATTACTGTAGCTTTGTTATATATTTTGAAATCAGGAAATGTGATGATTTTAGATTTGTTCTTCTTTCTCAAGATTGATTTGGTTATTCATGATCTTTTATAGTTTTATGAATTTTACAACTTTTTTCTATTACTGTAAAAAATACCATTGAGATTTCATTAAGATTGCACTGAATCTATAGGTTAGTTTGGATTGCATTTACCTTTTAACAATACTAAGTCTTCCAATTTATGGATATATCTTTTTATTTGTGTCTTATTTAATTTCTTTGATCAACATCTTGTAGTTTTCAGTGTACAAGTCTTTCATCTTTTTATGTAAGTTTATTCCTGGGTACTTTTGGTTTTTTTGGTGCTATTGTAATTGGGATTGTTTTCCTCATTTCCTTTTTAGAGTTTGTTGTTCATGTATCTATATGACTTTAAAGATTGTTTTTGTTAATTAATTGGAAGGGAAATACACTAGAATAGAAGAGATAAATAAGAGTTGTTTTTGAGAAAGTTAAATTACCAATGTTTAAAAATTGTAAGTTTTGAGGGGACCAGCAGTTAGCATAATGGCTATGTTGCTGGACTCCCGCATAGTCAACCGCGGTTCGCGTCCCGGACCCGGTGGCTTAAAACTCACGCCGGGCATGTGTGTGTGCGTGCCCAAGATCCCAAGAGGAGAATGGAGGAGAAGGGGTTGTGGTGTGGCCATCCCCTCTGGGGGGGGATTTCTCGCTTTCTGTCTCTCTGCCTCTCTCTGTCTGTCTCTATCTTTCTGGCAAGCACACGCGCCCTATAGCAAAAACCTCTCAAAAAAAAAAATTGTAAGTTTTGAGGGGACCAGCAGTTAGCATAATGGCTATGTTGCTGGACTCCCGCATAGTCAACCGCGGTTCGCGTCCCGGACCCGGTGGCTTAAAACTCACGCCGGGCATGTGTGTGTGCGTGCCCAAGATCCCAAGAGGAGAATGGAGGAGAAGGGGTTGTGGTGTGGCCATCCCCTCTGGGGGGGGATTTCTCGCTTTCTGTCTCTCTGCCTCTCTCTGTCTGTCTCTATCTTTCTGGCAAGCACACGCGCCCTATAGCAAAAACCTCTCAAAAAAAAAAATTGTAAGTTTTGAGGGGACCAGCAGTTAGCATAATGGCTATGTTGCTGGACTCCCGCATAGTCAACCGCGGTTCGCGTCCCGGACCCGGTGGCTTAAAACTCACGCCGGGCATGTGTGTGTGCGTGCCCAAGATCCCAAGAGGAGAATGGAGGAGAAGGGGTTGTGGTGTGGCCATCCCCTCTGGGGGGGGATTTCTCGCTTTCTGTCTCTCTGCCTCTCTCTGTCTGTCTCTATCTTTCTGGCAAGCACACGCGCCCTATAGCAAAAACCTCTCAAAAAAAAAAATTGTAAGTTTTGAGGGGACCAGCAGTTAGCATAATGGCTATGTTGCTGGACTCCCGCATAGTCAACCGCGGTTCGCGTCCCGGACCCGGTGGCTTAAAACTCACGCCGGGCATGTGTGTGTGCGTGCCCAAGATCCCAAGAGGAGAATGGAGGAGAAGGGGTTGTGGTGTGGCCATCCCCTCTGGGGGGGGATTTCTCGCTTTCTGTCTCTCTGCCTCTCTCTGTCTGTCTCTATCTTTCTGGCAAGCACACGCGCCCTATAGCAAAAACCTCTCAAAAAAATTGTAAGCTTTAATACACATTTTACTTATAATTTTATCAAATTTCATTGGAGAAGCTAAAAATTAACCTACATTGTCCCTGAATTAGGAAGAAATTTTAAAATCTATTAAAAGAAGCTATGTACATTACTTTTAGAATTCTTTGGTGAGAGATAGTGTTGATATCCTTCAACATCTTTGACATATTTGGTGTAATACTAAAATTAAATAAAGTGCTGGAATCCTTTTTTCTTTTTTTTGAGAGGTTTTAGCTATAGGGCATGTGCACTTACCAAAAGAGAGAGAGAGAGAGACAGAGAGACAGAAAGTGAGAAATCACCCCCCAGGGGGGATGGCCACGTCGCAATACCTTCTCCTCCGTTCTCCTCTTGGGATCTTGGGCACGCACGCACGCACACACGCCCGGTGTGAGTTTTAAGCCACTGGGTCCAGGACATGAACCGCGGTCGACTATGTGGGAGTCCAGCGACATAGCCATTACGCTAACTGCTGGTCCCAAGTACTGGAATCCTTACCATAGGTCAAGTTCTGCCCTTTAGTGCCAGCCAGAGATAAACAGAGGAGAAATACTTCCTGTCTATTTTATGTTGTAGACTTTGAGAAATTCATATTACCAACATAGTATATTGGCATAGTTTATGGGTATACTGTCAGCTAAAAAATTCCATTCTGCTAAATAATTTTCCATAACTCATATTCAGTGGATATAAGGTGGCAAAATTACCAAAGCTCCATGCCTTTTTATCCCTGCCTCACCTCAATCTTGTCATACAGTGACAGAGTTTCTAGAATATATTATTCATGAATAAAGCCGCAATATACTGTTTCAGTTTCCCTTTCGTTATTCCTCTGGCCTAATTAAGTTACCATTCTCTCATTCTTTGCCATAATCAGCTGTAGATCAAGAATATCAACATTCAAATGCTATATTGTAGACTGCAAAATCTATGAAGTCAATTCTGAAATATTCCCTAATATAATAAAGACAACATTTACACATTACACTTAGTTACATTAGTTAGGCAAGGGAGGTTGGTCTGTTCTTGTTACACAACCTTACGAATATTCAGGTGTTGGGGTGTGTGCATAAGAAGGGGGCAGGCCACAGAATACAATACATAAGCAGTTGTGATACATTTTATTTTCTGTCCTGATGAAAAATGTGATTTTTTTCACTGTTGCTAAACAAACACACTAGGGGGCCAGCCCAATGGCCTAGTGGTTAAGGGAGCCAGATCCCATATGGCTGATGGCAGTCTGAATCCTGGCTCTGGCAATTTGAAAAACCAACCCATAGTGTGGTGGTTAAGGCAGCTAGATCCCCTATGGCCAACTCTGTGGGTCAAATCCTGGACCTGGTGGCTTGAGCAACATGCCAGCATGTGAGCAGGCATGTCTGAAATCCCAAAAGGAGGGAGTAAATGAAGAGAGGGCGCTTTCTCATTCCTCCCTTTCTCTGTCTCTCCCTAAGGAAAGCACAGGTACCCTCTCCCAAAATTTAAATAAAGAAACACACACTGGGCGTGTGTGTGTGTGTGTTCAAAATCCTCACAGGATAGAAAAATGGAAGAGATGAGATTGCAGCATGACTGCACCGCACTGAAGGGTTCTTTCTTCTCCTGCACCCATTTTCTTTGTCTCTAATGTCCTCTGTCAACTAAAAAACTGAGGTTTCACAATCTTTATAGCTACTTCTTGTTTCACCATTTCTATAACTGATACATAATTTTGCTAAATATAAAAGTACACGTTTTCCCCCACCCTCATGACTCTATGTTTACATGCTGACACAATCATACCCAGTATGAACCAAACACAACTTTTGTTCATAGGGAATACCACTTTCATTTATAAACATACAAGTAAAATTTCTAGTAATTGCATTTATCTTTATGCTCAAGAAGGACAAAAGAAGGAAAAACTAAAAAAACAAACAAAAAAAGAAAAACTAAGAAGTAAACTAAAGCAAATTTTAAATAAAACAAAATCTACACAAAAACCCTCTTACTTATTGGCAATTTTGTTGGTGGTGGTGGTGATGATGGTTAGAATTTTCCCTTTGTGAGAAGAGGTGGTCAGCTCTAATGAGTGACATTGTGCTTACTTATGTATGAGTTTCTTGCATCCTCGTTTTTATTGCTCTTTTTCTTGCTGTTTTTTTTTGCATCTCTGGATGCTTTCCAATTCATTAGGAATTGTCTTTCCATATTTTTAATTTCTTTTCCATCAAGAAATTCTGGAAAGAAATACATGTTTATAAAGTACAATTTCTATATATAAATATATAAGTAAAAAGACATACTTGTGGTTTAGGGTACCTGAACTTAAGTTATGCCATAGGCTAAAATAATTTTTTTTTAAATACCTATTTACAACGATCAGCTGTTGGCGTAGTGGCTATGTCGCTAGACTCCCATGTAGTTGACCGGGGTTCGAGTCCTGGACTGGGTGGCTCAAAACTCACACCAGGTGCGTGTGCGTGCCCGAGATCCCGAGAGGAGAATGGAAGAGAAGGGATTGCGGCATGGCCATCCCCCTTGAGGGGGTGCTTTCTTGCTTTCTGTCTCTCTGTCTCTTTCTGTCTTTCTGGCGAGTGCACATGCCCTATAGCACAAACCTCTAAAAAACAAAGAAACAAATAATTACCTTTTTACTCAACCTCATGTATTTTTGTTGAACTTTTATTTTTAGATATTTTTTCTGATATCATGATGAATATGTGCATATTGTAAACAACTGAAATATGATGGGAAAATATAGACCTTGTAATTATTATCCATAACCCTTTTTCCATCACTGAAAAGGATAATTACCATAAATAACTTAGTATGTGGTATCACTTGTAGGGTTATATGTAAACTTATTTATTTCTAAAAGCAAAGATGTTGTTATATTCAATAAAAATTAAATAATACTATTATTCTTAGGAAAAAGAGAATATATTTTTTGTTAAAGTGAATAACCAGTTTTTATCCATAATGTATTTTTTTAGAATTATCTTACTTAACTTTATTTACTTATTTACTTATTTTAATTTGATCAGAGAGAGACAGAGCAAGAGAGAGAGAGAGTGAGAGAGAAAAAGAAAGTGAGAAATCAAGCTGCCAGGTCTAGGACTCGAACCATGGTTGGCCATGTGGGCGTCCTGCACACTTAAGCACCACACCACCTGACAGCCTTCATAATGTATTTTTTTTTAAAGCACATACAGCATTAATAATTCTTATTATATTCTAGGATGTAGGCTGTAATAGGAATAACCCACAGAGCTGGCCTTTTGGTTCTACTATGTAATATTTCAGATATCTTTACATTTTATTCCATTAAAATGTTTTTTTAAAAATTTTAGCTTCTTAAATTATACAGTTAATTTCTGTATGTTGTAAAATAATTGGAAAAATATCCAAAAATCAAAAAGAAAAAATTCAAGTGGCTTTATTCCGCAATGATAAATAATCACTGAAAATCACTGATAACATGTTAATATATATCTTATCTTTTTTTCATGTATGTATATGTATATTATAGAAAATTGAAATCCTCTATTGATATAGTTTTATATTCTGTTTTTCAATATTATGTTATGAGCATTTTTATCATGTCTTTCTTTCTTTTTTTAAAAGAATTACTTTATTTAACTTTATTTATTTATTTATTTTAATTTGACCAGAAAGGGACGGAGTGAGAGAGAGAGAGAGAGAGAGAAGGAAAGTGAGGCAGGCTGCCAGGTCCAGGACTCAAACTGCGGAACTCAAACTGTGGTCGGCCATGTGGAAGTCCAGCACCCTTACCACCATGCCACATGCCAGCCCCTTTACCATGTCTTTCTATAATATATTTAATGGCTGGTAGTATTCTATTGTGTATGAACATACTATAAAATATGGAACAACTCCCTTTATATAGACCTTTTATATTACCTGTAATGTCTCTTTAATCACATGAATATAGATGGCCTTCATTTGGTAAAAAGATATCTTTTTTTTTTTTTTGAAACATTTTTGCTGTAGGGCACGTGCGCTCGCCAGGTAGAGAGAGACAGAGAGATAGAAAGCGAGAAATCACCCCCCAGGGGGGATGGCCACGTCGCAATCCCTTCTCCTCCGTTCTCCTCCTGGGATCTTGGGCACGTATGCACAGGTGCCTGGCGTGAGTTTTAAGCCACCGGATCCGGGACGCGAACCGTGGTCGACTACATGGGAGTCCAGCGACATAGCCAGTATGCTAACTGCTGGTTCAAAAGACATCTTTTCTATCAAAAGTTTCATTATAATAGTTTTTAAAATTAAATAAATGTTTTCTCTTATCATCCATACAATCACTTCCACTGGATCCCAGAATGTAGAAAGAATTTAGTAAAATTTAATAGATCATATTATTTCATGGAAAATTATGATATTCTGATAAAATATTAATTGTACTACTGAAAGCATTAGCACTTCTACTTAAAAATGATTCCTGATATTGTTATACCCAAAGTACAAAATAAAGTGATAAAACTGAACATAAACTCTAGTATAATTGTCTCTATATCTTATGTGCATGTAAAAAACTGAACAATAGCAATTTCCAAACTATAACTTAAGAATTGGCTAATGTGTTATCTTCAAACATTTTAGTACTTATAACTTTACATTAAAATCATTCTTTTATGCTCAGTTTTTTCAACCATTTGTATTTATTGATGCCTCCTACGAATTTGTCTTATTAATTGTATAATTAGTATATTTTTAGATGGAATATGCATAATCGGTACATATCTTTAAAACATGTATATGAAGATAGGGAAAGAAAAACCCATTTTTTACTATAAGCCCTTCTTCCTCATGTTTATGCTCCAAACAGAGCTGAGGGAGACTAGGAGATTGCCTCAGTTAACCTGACTCCATCTAATTTTTAGAAAATGATCTTATTTGAGGTAATTACATATGGAAGCGATTTAAAAGGGGAAGCCAGGTAATGGACACAAGACCCTCTGAGATTTCCTTAATTTTAATAAATTGCTTTTAACACAAAATTTGCTTCCACTCATGATAAGTATACCAAACATGTGGATTGTCATTTTATTTAGGGAGGATTGGATAATTTAGAAAACACAAAATGGCTCCCTACAGTTATTCTTACTGAGACATTTCAAATCAGGCCTTCAATTAGCTTTGTGATTTTTGGTTTTACATTTAGGCAAAAGAAATAGAATTAGAAAAGACAAAATCAAAGAGAACTCAATAGATGTATAGAAGTGCATAGAAAGAAGACTGGAAGTGTGTATTCTAAGGTGTTAGCAGATTTATGATGAGGCTATTAATGATATATATTTTCTTTGTAGTTTAAAGGAAATATGTATTAATTTTGTAATCATAAAATATAGAAAAGAAGATTTATCCAAAGCAAATGGAACAAATCCTCTTTAACTGGAAGTCAGTATACTTATCTCCACCATCTTCTAGTACTATGTAATGAGAAATGTTTCAAGAAATGGTCCTGTGAACACTGGGAGGATTTTAATAATCAACCATTAGTTGTTTTCACTTTACTTGCTAAGGAGGGTGGACTAATACAATTATGGGTGGTGGGCAGAGAGGGGAGGGGCAATTAGGGTACAGATCGCATAGCAGAATCATATGTAGAGCTTTTAAAAAATATACATCACTGTTCTCCCTGTGTATTCTGTTTCCTGCTTTTGTAGACAATGTGGACCTTGCATATGTTTTTTTTTTTAAAAAAGAGTCTTAGATTTTTCTGGTATGTCTTCTCCTTTTCCAGAAACCCACTATACCAGGTTTAGTATAATCAAGGTTTACTACACCTATTAGCTGTGAAGTGATTTTTTTCATGTGTTAGTTTTTATACCCACGTACAGCATGTCACAGAAGTTTAGATCCAGGAAACCCTCTCACCAGTCTCCTTCAGAGAAAGCACTGCTCATCTATCTTGATGCTGTGTAACTTGGACACTATAAATGAGGAGCTAGTGTTCATTTCCTCCAGTATACTGCATATAAAGGAATGTTATTATTTGTGAGAATCTGTTTTTCTTTTGGGATCATCAGAGGACTTATGCCAGTGAATATTTGTCAAAAGGTGGGCCAGCAGATGGCATAGCATTTATGTTGCTGGATTGCCACATAACTGACCACAGTTCAAGTCCCAGACCCAGTGGCTTGAAAGTCATGTGGGTACGTATGCATGTGTGCCCAAGATCCTGGGAGGAGGTTGGAGGAAAAGGGATTGCTGTGTGGCCATTCCCCCTAGGGGGTGACTTTTTACTTTACCTACACTTCTCTGTCTTTGATTCTCTGGTGAGCACAGGCGCCCTAAGGCAAAAACCTAAAAGAAAGTTTGGCAAGCAAGTCCTACACACTTATAACTCTTTCTATTTGTAACAGACACAATTTTCTTTTTAAAGAGTTTCTGGGGAACCAGCAGTTAGCGTAATGGCTATGTCGCTGGATTCCCACGTAGTCGACTGCGGTTCGCGTCCCGGACCCAGTGGCTTAAAACTCACGCCGGGCACGTGTGCGTGTGTGCCCAAGGTCCTGAGAGGAGAATGGAGGAGAAGGGATTGCGGCGTGACCATCCCCTCTGGGGGGTGATTTCTTGCTTTCTGTCTCTCTGTCTCTCTCTGTCTGGCGAGCGCACGCGCCCTATAGTGAAAACCTCTCAAAAAAAAACACAAAACAAACAAACAAACAAGCAAACAAAAACTAAGAGTTTCTGGTGCTTTAATTACTTCTGAACAGCAGATATTTTTCATGCTTTATTTAATTAATTTTTAGAGAGATTTTTGCTATAGGGTGCATGCACTCGCTGGAGAGACAGAGACATAGAAAGTGAGAAATCACACTCCCATTGGCGATGGCCATGCCACAATACCTTCTCCATTCTCTCAGGATTTGGGGCATGCATGCACATGCGTCCAGCGAGAATTTTAAGCCGCTGGGTCTGGAAGTCAAACCAAGGTTGGCCATGTGGGAGTCCGGTAATGTACCATTATACCATCTGCTGGTCCCCAGTTTATTTTTCAATTTTAACCTTTGTTTATATTCAAAATATTGTATTTAAAATGAATTATATTCATAGCTCTAGATGCCATATTTATATTTCTGAAAGCTTGCTGATAAATTAACTAAAAAGTTAACCATGTATCTTAATGCTAGGAAAATTATATTAATATAAATATGTACCCAGGGATTGGGACACCAATATCAGTCTATCCCTGTATTTTGGTTTGAGACAAACAGGATTTCCATTCAGCTCCATTTTCCACAACTTCATCATCTTGTTTAGCAAAAACTCCAAATCCTAGAATTAGAGATGAAAAAGCCAGATATAAATATTTCACAACTATTAGTACTTCTACTATATTGGCTAACTGTTTTAAAGTAATTACTGCTTTATTTATTTATTTATTTATTTATTTTAGGTTTTTGCCATAGGGCATGTACTCTCACCAGAAAGAGACAGAAAGGAGAAAGGGAGAAAGGTGATAAATCATCTACCGAGGGTATGGCCACACCACAATCTCTTCTCTTCCATTCTCCTGCCAGGATTTTATGCATGCATGCATGCACACACACTCAGCGTAATTTTCAAGCTGCCAGGTATGGGACTTTAACTCCGATTGACCACGTGGGAGTCTAGTGCTTTAACAACCACATCACTGCTGCCCATTACTGCTTTTTAAATTTTTCTTTCTTAATTGCTGGAGAGTGCATGTGCTCACCAGAGAGACAGAGAGATGGGAGAAAGCAACCCCCAGTGCAGGGGGTGTGGTCATGGCCATGCCACAATCCCTTCTCCTCCATTTCTCGATCCTGTTGGTATTTTGAACATGCACGCACATGTGCCTAGCATGTTTTTCATGCCTCCAGGGCCAGGATTCAAAGTACAGACAGCTCTGTGGGATCTGGCTCCCTTAAACCAGTAGGCTACAGGTTGGCCCATAAGTAATTATTGTTTTTCAGAGTTCTAGCTCAGTGTCAGATAATTTGAAGATTAACTAGATATTAACTACATTTTCATGAAATAGTATGTGCTTGTAATAGAAGGGTCTGAAGATGAGGCAAAAAGTTCACACTTGTGGACCATAGAACTCTTCTCCCCGCCTTTAAGTGGACCCAACCTGTACTCAGAAAACAATTTTTTTCTGCAGAGAAAAACCCTACTATTCTTAATGGAGTTTATGGAAGTTTACATTAAGGCAGTTAAGGAATAGTATTTTTTTTCCTTAGAGTGGGAAATACAAATCAAAACCATAATGAGATACCACCTAACCCCAGTCAGAATGGCTAAGATTAAAAAAAAAAAAAATTCTAAATCTTCGTGAAGCTGTGGTGAAAAGGGTACTCTCTAACACTGTTGATGGGGATGTAAATTAGTATACCACCGTGGAGAACAATATGGAGGTTCCTCAAAGACCTACACATAGAACTATTATATGATCCAGTAATTCTGCTCCTGGGTATCTTCCCAAAGGAGAGGAGCACACTCAGTTGAAAAAGTACTTGCACATCCATTGCAGCATTATTCACAATTACTAAGACATTGAACCAAGCCAAATGTCCATGAACAGATTAATAGATTGAGAAAGTGTGGCACAAATACACTATGGACTACTACTCAGCCATTTAAAAAAAGACCCTGGCATTGGACGAATACGGAAGATTTACTGCTGAGAGAAGCAAGCCAGACTATGAAAGTGAGAACATTATATGTCCCCAATTAATACATGCCAAATGTCCGGACTCCATGGCAGAAACTGAAAGATTGGAAGATATCAAAGAATGGAGAACAACTGTGGATACTAGAAACAGTAGGGAAGGAGAGTGGGAAATGGGGGAGAGTGAGAGGGAGGGAATAAAGGAGAAAAATAAAGAAGCAAAACATTTAAGGGACACAAACATGGAAAATTATCTGATAAAATGTATGATAATATCTTTAACTGGACTAATATATGGCGTATTCATCTTGGGAAAACTCATTTTATAAGCTGTAATGATGTACAGTGATTGAATAATTTAATAAATTTTTTGCTATAGGGCGCGTGCGCTCACCAGACAGAGAGAGAGACAGAGAGAGAGACAGAGAGATAGAAAACGAGAAATCACTCCCCAGGGGGATGGCCATGCTGCAGTTCCTTCTCCTCCATTCTCCTCTCGGGATCTTGGGCACACACGCACACGCACCTGGCATGAGTTTAAGCCACCAGGTCCGGGACTCAAACCGCAGTTGACTACATGGGAGTCCAGCGACATAGTCGTTACGCTAACTGCTGGTCCCTAATTTAATAAAATTTTAAAAAGGGAGTAGTGAGTAAGCAGTCTAATGGTATTGAAAACAATGTACTTCATTGCCTTTAATTTTATGAAGAATACATATTCATGTTTTAAATCCATTTTAACAAACTATCAAAGGAAAAAATAGGAGAAAACCATCACTTACTTGCATGCTTGCCCAAAGATCACTTTTTCTGCATTTATGATAGAGTGGGTGTGTATACAGGTACTCATGAGAGAGAGAAAGCACTCTTCCCAGTGGCATATGGTTATGCAATCCTTTCTTCCCCGCTGTTTTTCCATCTCATGACAATTTGGGGCACACATACACATGTGCCTAGTGTGTTTTCAAGCACTGGACCAAATTCAAATTGCAATCAGTTGATCATGTGGGATCCAGGTGTCAGTTCCTGGTGTTTAACCACTGTGCTATGGAGCTGCCACACACCCTTCCACCCAGGACTTCTTTTTTAACTGTCATTATAATATGGGCCCTTCTTTTTTTTTTTTTAAATTTGCTATAGGCCATGTGTGCTCACCAGAGAGAGAGAGAGAGAAGGAGAGGGGGAGAGAGAGAGAGAGAGAGCGAGAGAGAGAGAGAGAAAGCATCCCCCTGTGGTTAGCCATGCTTCAATCCCTTCTCCATTCTCCTGTCAGGATTTTGGACTTGCACACACATGTGTTCAGCATGCTTTTCAAGCTATCAGTCCCAGACTGTTGGCCATGTGGGATTCAGCCATCTTAATCACCACTCTACCAACTATCCCAGTAATTTTTTTTTTAAAGACAGGGTCTCACTGTGGTGGTGTCCTCCTGCCTCAAGATCCTGAGTTTCTGGGACCACAGGTATGTACCAACACAACTAGCTCTTTCAGATGATCCTATTATGTTTCCTACACTTCTCACAAGTTTGTTATACTCCTGGCTCAGCCTCCCAACGTGCTGAGATTACAGTTGTGTGCCACCATACTAACTTTTTGGGTGAGCCAGAGGTCAAATCTGGGCCTCCCATGTGGCCTTAACCTGTTGAGCATCTACCAAGGCTGGGTTACCAAGGTTGGGTCTTAGTTTACACTGTAGTAAAACATTTTCATGCCTTTATTGCTTACAAGAAAATCAGCTAATTCATATTTCAAATAGTATGTATATTATCTTTGATCTATAGCCCAAATGATGTGAGGAAAACAGACTAAAGGCATTAGCTCTGTTTGCCCTCTTTACCTACTCTTTCTCCCTATTTCCTTTCCCATCCAATTACACCTTCTCTTTACCTTCCTGTTTCTGTCATCCCATTTCTTGATTTTTCCCCTTCCTATTAAAAAACAGAAATCATAATTACTATTTAAAGGAAATAAAATATACTTTTAAGTATTTCTTGTATATGCCCAAATAGTTTATTTATTTACTTCTTGGGAGAGAGATAGACAGACACATAGGTTCCCCCAATTGGGTCTTCACTTCACCCCTAGCCTCAGCCAGCCAGGATCCTGGGCTCATATGCACCTGATGTGTGAGGGAGTCTCAGATTTGTAGCCTAGGATCTTCCCATGTGGCTTCATCTTTACAGAGTGTTGGATTACCACTGTACCATCACCACAGCTGTCCTAATTTTCATTTCAAAAATCAGAAACTTTTGGGCCAGCAGATGGTGAGTGGAGTCCCACATGGCCAAACACAGTTTAAGTTCCAGACCTGGTGGCTTGAAAATCATGCTGGGTGTGTGTGCATGTATGCCCAAAATCCTGAGAGGAGAATGGAAGAGAAGATATTGTGGTAAGGCCACCCCCCCACCCCCACCACGGGAGATGATTTCTCACTTTCCCTCTCTCTGTAGAACAAATATACCCTATAGCAAAATCTAAAAAAACAGAAAAGAAAATTTAATCTGCAACAGATTACTAAAAACAAAATTAATGCACTTGGGTTTTTTCTGTACCTTTGCTATAGTGACTAATGCTACAGTGATCATGACAATACAAATTATCACTTCAACTAGTGATTTCATTTCCTATGAATAAATACCCAGAATTTAGTTTGCACTAGACTCTAAAGGATCCAAATAAGTAAATTATGTGAAAATACAAGGAATTGTTTTTTTAAAAAAAAGGTATTTCTTGCTTATTTTGTGACCTTAGACAAGTCTGTGTCTTCATTTATAAAGTAAGGCTAATTAAGATTACTTGCCATAGTATATAAAATGCCTAAAACAAATAGAAAATAATGTTTCTTTTTCTTCCTTGCCACACATCAAATAATTCCCTTTTCCTTTCTCTCTTTTTTTAGAGAGATTTTTGTTATAGGGCACATAGACTCACTAGAGAGACAGAGAGACAGAAAGCGAGAAATCATTCCCACTCCCAGGGGGTCAGCCATGCTGCAATCAATCCCTTATCCTTCATTCTCCTCTTGGGATTTTGAATGTGCATATACACACACTTGGTGTGAGTTTTAAACTGCCAAGTCTGGGACTTGAATCACAGTCAACTCCATGGAAGTCCAGTGATGTAACTGTTATACTATCTGCAGTTCCAATTCCCTTTTTCTTAATTTTGTTCAATAGAAAAGCAAAATTTATTCAAAATAATAAGGACAAAAAATTCATTCCTACTGACAAACAGTTGACTACTTATAAGAAAGCTCTCTTTAGGCCAGCGAGGTGCTGTAATGGTTAAGGTGGCTGGATCCCACATGGCCAACGGCTTAGTTTGAATCGAGGACTGGCACCTCATGCTGGGTGCAAGTGCATATGAGCCCAAAATACCAAAAGGAGAATGGAAGTGAAGGGATTTCAATATGGTCATCCTCCCTGAGGGGAGGTTTCCTCTCTTTCTTTCTCTAGTGAGCACATGTGCCCTAGAGCAAATTAAAAACAGAAGAAAAAAGCTCTCTTCACAAATTAGAACTTCAGCCTTTAGTCCTGTGCTCTAGAGATGCCCTCTCCAAAGCATTTGTTCAACAGTGTTTAATACAGCCATGATAGTTTTTTTTTTTTTTTTGAGTGGTTTTTCGCTATAGGGCACGTGCGCA